TGGGCTTCAGAGGACCGTGCTGCTCTGTCTCAGAGCACACTGCTCTGTTAACTGGACTTCTACTAGTTACGCCAAATTCCTGTTTGGGCTTCAGAGGACTTCAGGGATGCTTTGGGGATCTTAACTTGTGGGTTAAGGTGCTCTCAGGTGTGCAGAGATAGACTATCTGTATTAACTCCAAATAAAATGGTTTTGAAAAAAATGAGTAAAGATGATCTCGGGCCGTAGTTCATCCAGCCTCCATGGTCCTAGGGAGTCTGGATTCCCCGGGATTGAAATTCTCTGTATTTCTCCCTCCCGACCCCCCGTTTTTAAAAAGAAGATCATTTTCTCTATTAGCTCCCCACCCCCAGCCTCCCCTGTCATGACCCTAAGGAGCTATTAATTTATAGTCTCTGTATACTTACTTGTATACAGAAGTCTTATTTAAAGAAAATCTTAACTCCTACAATAAATAAATACAGCCCAGAAAAGTCTCAATCCAAAAGACAGCAGAAAATAATAAAACCTAGAACAAGTTAGAAATGGTCATAAGGGAAAACAAAAGATGTTAAATTTTAACCTCTTTTATCTGCAATAAATCCACTTTCCAGTGCACCCTGCCAAAGGGCAAGGCTGGTCACATTCCTGATGGGTGGCCCAGGAGAGTTCCACAGAGGGCCGGATCCATGTGGGAGCCCCACAGACGGCTTTGGTCTCGCAGCAGAGAGGTTCAGATCTAAGCTTTGACAGAGTTCCCTCTTCCGGGGAATTGGGTTTCATTTTTCACAATCCTTGGGTCACACTGGCTGCTGTGTTCCTTCTGTGTGGACTGAGCTGACACCTCAGCCACTCTGGTGGCTGCTTGTTTGAACAAGCCTTTAAAACCCTGATGCTATTCTTCCTGATAGCCAGGCATCATCTCATTTCTTCTCAGGACAAGCACTGAGCCGTGTTTTCCCCCCTTGGGTTAGAATCTTTCTAGACTCCCTGATCAAAACCCTGTGCTTGTTGTCTTCCAGAAAAACATTGTGCACCGAGACCTGAAGCTCGGGAACATGGTGCTCAATAAGAGGTGAGAGTTCCTGTTCTTCCTTCGGGGCTGGTTATGTGCCGCAACTAGCCTGCACCCTGCAGTGGTCCCAGGTGGACTCCAGGAAGCCGGTTCTCCCAGAAGCCCCTGGGATCGGTATGGGAATGTCGGTTGGCTCCTGTCTTGCCACCTCAGAATGCGTGCTTGCTAAGAGCGAAATCGTAGGAGCCACAAAAGGGCCGAGGGGGTTTCTGAGCTCCTGCCTGGCTCCTGCCGGCCGCCGCTCAGTAAAAGCTCAGGAACAGCTGTAGCAATGGACAGCCGTGCGGAGAAGGGCCTGGTCACCTTGGAAACACCCTGAGCTGTGTACGGGACGCTGACTGGGGGCCTCCAGGAGAAGGCAGTGGAGCTGAACCGTAATGCAGTCACTGCGGGGCCTCCGCTGGAAGAGCTCAGAGCTGGGGGGCCTGGTTTTCAGACCCCACAGCCACCGGTCACTGTCCTCGGCTGTCGCCTTCCCCAGTGGGGACACAGGAGGGACACAGCTACTCATGGTGTGGTCCGAGGTGGGCAGAGGTCTGACCGTGGAGGGGTCCTGGACTGGCAGGGGGAGGAGCTGGCCCCAGAATGTGGGGCTGGGAGCTCCCTTGCTGGCTTCCTGTGGCCTCCCTCTGCTCACCTCCCTGTGGAAGCGGGAAGGGGCTGAGAGGCGGGGACTTAGCCCGTGATGTGACCCTACTGCCCTGTGGAACACCCAGCCCGTGGCGGTCATCGGGGAAGAAGGTGAGGGGAGGCAGACCCGGCCCCTCTGCTCCAGTCCCAGGATGCTGCTGCCCTGGGGACTCAACCACCATCTCCCCCACAGGGCTGGGGCGCACATAGAGCCCGGGGCTGCCTGAGTTGATTCACAAAGCTGGAAGGGAAATTGCCCAGCTGAGAGGGGTGGAATGACAGGAAATTCCAGGGCTGTTTGAACCCTTGACTGGGAGCTGGGAGGGAAGAGAGTGAGCAGTGGATGGGCTCAGGCATCTGGGATCTGCCGGTGGCTGAGTTCACTCACCAGACGTGTATTGGAACTAACCACAAAGTCGGTGGTTTAAATCCACCAGCCACTCTGAGGGAGAAAGACGAGGCTGTCTGCTCCTCCTAGGATCCCCGTCCAGGCCGTGAGCTGGAATTGACTCCAGCAGTGGTGGTCCCAAGTACTACTCTGCACTCCATTTTCTCACCTTTCAGTGGAGGTGGTCTCGGCCCCCTGAAATGCTTGACTAGAGGTCCAGATGGGTGGGTGTGGGACGGCCTAGCGAGGCCTGACCCGTCATGGTCAGTGCAGCCCAGTTCCAAACTGGCTAAGGAGCCCACAGGAGGGCCATCTGCCGGCTCCCCTCGGGACACAGGTGGGGGGCGGCATGAGAATGCCTGGAGGGGCGGGGTGGTGGTGGTGGTGGTGGTGGTGGTGGAGGTGCTGCTGCTGCTGCTCTGCCTCCTAGCTGATTGTGACTCACAGTGGCCGTGTATGACAAAGGAGGACTGTCCTACAGGGCTGCTGATTCTAAATGCTACCGGAACAGATAGCCTCATCGACCGCCTTCAGAGCAGCTGTGGGGCTTGAACCAGGATCCTCATGCGGGCCTCCCTCCCCGCCACACCAGGACTCCCTCCTAACCCCCTAGGTCCTGAGAATGTAGCCGGAGCCACGCTTCCCTTAACTAATCCTAGGAGGGCCACTGTCGCAGCACTGCTCGGTGTGCGTGCGTGGCATCCTCAGACTGCAGGGTGCTGTGGCTCATTCACACCCCCATCTTGGCTGCACTCTGCTCAACAACACCCCCACCCCAGTTCTGTGTCTCGGAGCACATGGGTCTGGCCTCCATTCACGTGCATCATGAGTGCTCTGGATGGGGAATGGGCCACAGTCCGCACTGGCCCCTCAGAGCACCCGCCCTCTCGGGTCTGGAGGACAGCAGACAGGCTGGCAGCAGAACAGAGGGCTCCTGGGGAAGGGCGCAGACAAGTGTCTGCGGGCAGCCGCATGGCAAGCTCCCCTGCGGTGCACATAGGGAAAGCCGTGGAGTCCGAGACCCCCTTTGGAGGTCACGTGAGGCGGGCTGTGGGTCCTTACGCCTTCCTCCTGGCTCTTGGGTCACTGAGCTGCGTACCAAGTTCCTAGAGAGGAGCCAAGCCTACAAGTGGGGGCCAGAGGGCCCCGAGCTACAGAGTGACTCACCGCCTGTGCTGACGCACTCACTCCTCCCGTCAGAGCTAGCTGGCGTGCCAGCCAGCCCGCGTGGTCCACAGCTTGACCGGGTTCTTGTGTGGGGAGCAGTCTGGGCTGCCCCCAGCCCCTCAGCAGCCCTGCCTGGCCCTGCACGCGAGTGTCCATGTGCTGAGCGTAGCAGAGCCGAGCGGAAAGCTACACACGCACCGGCACGTTTGTCCAGGCCGCTGTCCCCTCCCAGCGTCCCCAGAGATGCATGCTTTGCAGGATCTCCGCGGCACTTAGCAATATACTGAGGTGCCAGGCCCTGCCCCCCTTCCCCCTCCCCCATGCTCACCCTGGGATTATCTGCTTACCTGTTAAATCCCAGCACGGGGCCTGGAGTCAGGTGCTGATACTTCCCCTGCTTTACAGATGAGGAAATGGAGGCTTAGCAAGAGATTGAGTCAGGGCATCACACAGCAAGGAGGGGCAGGACTGGGACCAGAGTGGAAGCCTGTCCCTGGGCTGCCCTGTCCCCCGGGTCTCACCTCAGGACTCATGTTCAGCTGTAGTGGGACAGGCTGGCCCGCAGTCAGCTGCGGGCATTGGTGAGATGGGCGGCCTGGCTCCGAGGGCCAGGCCTGTGGGCAGAGCTGGAGTCCAAGGTTCCGGAAGCACAATGCAGGCTCAGGCTGCCCTTTGTTCTGCACCAGGGCGGGTGCCAGCAGAATTCCCCGGCATTGCTGGAGGGCGCTGGATGCAACTCCCGGGGAATTCCGCCCTCGGCCTGGACCTGCGTGGGGACCTTCCTCCCCCCTGAGACCCTGGCAGGCCTTCCTATCCTGCCTTCCTCCCACGTCTCTGCCTGGCGACTAGACCCCAGCAGGGCAGCCAGCCTCACTGGTCCCCTGGGCGAGTGAGAAGCCTCGCCAAGCCATCTTCTCCTGCACCTGCAGTCAACACGTGGGCCGCTGGGCCTCTGCTCCTGCCCCCTTGTCTCTGGTCACCGTGTGCACTTCCCAGAGAGCTCTCCCCCACGGCCACCTCAGCTGGGCTGGGCTTCCAGGTCAGGCTGATCCCCAAGTGGGAGACGAGGGGTGGGCCAGCTGTGCTTGCAAGCTCTGGGGTCGCAGGGACCCCACTCCACCACGCAGGCTGGGTGGCTGTGGGTATATGGCTCCACTTTCCCGTGCCCTGTTGCCTTGCGGTGAGGGAGGCACTGGTAAACCTCATGGACATGGGCAGTAGATGAAAACAGCCCACACAGCACTGCACCTGTCAGTGCTCAGGAAGCATTGCTGACGGAAGATGGCAGGAGGGCAGCATGACAGCCAAGAGCACTCCCCAGTGTGGTGCTTCCCAGGGCAGGCCTGTGCCCCTGCTCCCCACGCTTGTTCTTCCCACCAGAGAGCTGCCCAGGACGTCCCTGAGCGCGCCAGTGTCTCTTGCTTGGGCCCAGGGCTTCCTGGGAGACCTGCACCGGCCTGGCCCACACAGTGCCCGGCCACACTGCAGGTGCTTGATCACGTCGGGCGAGTGAAGGCCGAGCCCCATCCCCTCCTTCCTGGACCCAGAGGGTGCCCCGTAAGTGGGCAGCTTCGGTCTGGCCTCAGCTGTCACCTAGCACCTAGCGACTTTCTGGTGTTAGTCCTGACATCAGGGTCCCCTCCCCACTGGCTCTGGGAGTGCCTCTTGCTGAGCTCTGCTTCAGGGCCCAACAGTGGGAGCCCCCCTTTTCTGGAGGTTGCCCTGGTGGGTCAGGAAAGGGGCTGCTGCTGGGTGCAGCACTGGGCAGAACTCAGCATACACAAGGCCCTGCCACATGCTGGCTTCACCAGCCAGTTGGAAGATAGCAGCCCACCAGCCCTCGCCGGGCCCAGAGGCTTTGCGGGCAGCTGAGGGCGTTCATATACCGGCAACCATGAGCATGCGTGGCGCAAGGCCAGGCTGCGTTTGTTCTGTTACACATAAGGGCAACCGAGTCCAAGCCAGCTCGAGGTGGGACCAGGCTCAGGCCCAGCTCTGGCTGCCCCAAGTCTCCCCAGTAGAGGAGTGGGGGGCTGGTTGACTGCTCAGCTCCCTGCTAGCCGTAGTCCTGCATCTCCCTCGTTGGGTGGTGGGCAGCCCACGGGAGTTGGTCCTGTGCATTCGGGGAGGCCCAGCTTGGAGTGGTGGATTGTCTCAGTGTCCTCCTCTGTCCCTGCAAGCTTGCGACGCCTCACGGCCACCCCAGGGACTATGTCTGTTCCTGGAGTGATCTCTCCGGTCTCCCTCTCCTTCCTGAGTGAACGGATTCACCATGCGCCTGGGCATCTCGTACCCAAACACCCCGCGTGCGTGCTGCTCTCCTCCCTCACCCCTTTCTCCCCAGACAGAAAACGTGAGTGACCGTAGACAGCACATCCGGCTTCCTGCCGCAGCTGCCCTGTGGCTCCATGTGCAGTCAGGAGGTGGCAGACTGGCATGGGTGGGTGGCCTCCCATGTGAACAAGCAGCCCTGCCACATAGAGGGAAGGCGGCTAAGGCGCTCTTGGCTCTTGTTCTGTGACAGTCCCTGTCCTGGAATTGCCTAGGAAAGTTCCTGGGCCACCCTC